CAGTCAGTGGTGAAGGCATCATGATACTTATCATAATGCGGACCCCCACAGAGCCGCCAGGAGAGCATAGGGTAATGAACCAGGAGCATCTTGCCCTTCTCCTTCGGGTGGTTGACTTGGTGGATCTAGTGCCTCTTCTTATCCTCCGGGTGCGGTACCACCAGCCCTTTGATAACCCCTGTGTTAGCTCCAGGTACTGGATGTACAACCCGATGGAAGCAGTGACTCTCCAGAAACGGCGTGACTTGCCGAACTTTCAGCTTATACTTCACCAGCAGCTCCTCAACAGCATCTAGCGTGATGCTCGCATGTATTTCCTTAAAGACCACTTCAATGACGTGCGGGTTAGTAGCCTTCTCTTTCACAAAAGCCGCATTCTCAGTGTGAAGCCAATGTAATTTATACGACGTTACGTTCGGCTTCTGATATTCCAGAGCCGCTTGCCGCACTTTAGTAGCATCTTCTTCTTTCTGAAATGATAGCTGAAGGCAACTGTACTCGGTCTTTGCGACATATGCAGGGTGAATGTCCTGAAAGTCAACCGATGTATTAGTGCCATCAGAGAGCAAAGAAGACCAAACGCGTTGCAGTAGCATGTGCACGGTGATGATGACTGATGCCATTTCTGGCTCCAGAACAAGAGGAACGAGCAAGATAGCCGTATAACGAAGCTTCACATCGGAGTCCTTGGATATTATGAACTCCAGCTCAGTGTCCGAGTCGTCATCCGTGAACTCGTCTTCATTGTCATTATCATGCGCGGTGGTAAGTGCAGCAAGCTTTTCCTCCAGAGATAAGCCTGAGCTCCCTTCTACTGGAGTAACGGCTCATTTTCCTCCACTTGTTTCCCCTTATCTTCAGGTACCGAATAGCATCAGTGACAACAGCACGTTTCGGCAGCAGAGGAACACGTTCCTTGGGAGGAGGACGCGCCATAGGGCAATGATGAATAAAGACCAGCAGCAGTTGATTTGCAAGGGCCAGAAATGCCTAAGATGCTGGATGTCTGAGCCCAGTATAATATAGCCGCAATGTCCCTCCATCAGACCAATATTTTTGGTGTAGGTGCTAAGTTGTCACTGATAAAACCTGAGGGTGATCATCAGTAGCCTTGAGAACGCCATGAAATAAGAATAGCCAATCACGAATTCAGTGAGAGCTCTTGTGAAACGCAATGGACTGATGTCGGGATATCCGATAATGAAGCCTTGAAATTGTATGGTTGTAAGAAGCTGAACAGCAGATCCTGAGAAGCTCTTGGTACGATGTTCGCCTGATGAACATTATAAGTGTACCAATCGATTCGTCGTGATAAGGCGAGTTCAAAGCTGAGGTTCTTAAAGCCAACTGGTAACTCTGCTTCACGAAATGCTGGGTTGAAGACCCTGAAGAAATCCATGGCGGCGAGCTCTAGGTCCATTGTTACTCAATATCCTTCAATGTTCCAACTCCTATGTGTCAGCCGCCAATCGCCAATGCCTGGTGGATGCAGAAGTTGGTGTCCTTTGACTCGAGCTGGATCTGAACGCAAATCTTCGCCTAGATCGATTGGTTGTTGGCGACAATAATCTCGAATTCACTGAACAGCTCCTCACTGTTAAGCATGAACATGCTGGACAAGACCATTTGCTGACCGCATCAGCTGTCCAGGTACCATTTGTTAATGTCGTCGCTTTGCTTTGCGATGTTTGCGATTCGCGGAGTGACATGATGCTACATGTCGTGTACTAGTTCGTAACTCCACCCCTCGTTGTTCAATACGATTCGTGCAGGTGGCGACTCCGCTATCCACGGTGGTGCTTCCCAGTCGTACTAGATTTGTCCAACAGTTAGTTCGTCGAAGGTCAAGTCGTTTTCTGGTCCTGCTGGTGGTGGATCTTGGAACATGTCCTCCCAGCTGCGGAAGAAGCGGTAGAGACGATTGGGTCGAGGAGATCCGTGTCGCACCATGTAGGTCAACACCTTGCTCTTCCCTTTTTTGTCTGCAGAAATGCGCGTCGGAGCTTGTGAAGTGCTGGCGACGGCGAGCAAGGACACGGTCTGGTTGTGAGCTGGTGATCCGGCGGCTTGCTGGTAAGGCACTCCTCCCTGTTGCCTTTGTGCATTGTTCCCGTTGTTGTTTCTGTTGTTGTTGCCATTGCACTTTTAGCATTCCTGTTAACGGAAATAGAATGTTGGCCCCGCCCTCGCTTGGGCAACGCCGACGACATGGTCGGATGTACGGAAGTGGTAGCTGACCATTTACAGTGGGAGAGCTGCTCGATAGGCTTTGTCGAGCTGCAGAGGACCGCAATGGTTTTGCTGTCGACCAGGGAGCTCGACAGCTGCAACTGACTGGTCTAGACGACCGGTGGGCCGTCAACCAGGAAGGGCAGTTTGACTGGGAGGTTGACGGAGCAGCCTGTTGACCTGCAGCTCAACCGGGAGTAGCCCGTCGACATGCAGCTCAACCGGGAGCAGCCCGTTGACCTGTAGTTTGACCGGGAGCAGTCCATCGACCTAAAGCTCGACCGGGAGCAGCCCGTCGACCTGCAAATCGACCGGGAGGTCGACGGAGCAGTCCGTCGACCTGACAAGTGAGCAGCGGTCGATGAGGGGATCGACGGGAGCTGTGGTCAACTAGGGGCACCTGGTGGTCGACCAGAGGGTCCCGACGGTCGACCAGAGGTAGTGGTGGTCGACCGGAAGCACCTGGTGGTCGACCAGGTCGGCCAGGTAACCTGCTCGACGAGTTCTGCGTAGGCACGCAAACGTCGCCGAGGTCGCGATGGCAAAGATGACTGTGGGCTGGTATCCCGAAGTTGATGTGGCTCGTCAGACACAGACAACAGCCGACGGATGCCCAACGAGGGAAGTCGGGCCAATCGCCTGCGCACACCTGCGAGCGTGCGCACTGCTGTGTTCTATGGGGCAACGCTGGAAAGCCGCTCTGCTGCAGCGTTGGCACGCCGTCGACCTGCTCTATTGGCAGGTCGCCTTTCTGCAGTGCTGGCATGGCTCCTCTACGCAACGCTGGCTGGCGGTCGACCATGTTGTGCTGTCGGTCGACCATGCTAGCTGCAGGGTTGCTAGGTGCCTAATGTAGTCATTCTTGTCATTGTGAGCTCAATCATTCTGTAATTTCGACTTTGCTAGTGGAAACTCTTGCCGATTTCTCCCGTGATTGTGCAAGCACTAAGGAATTAGGCAAAGCTACGCTCAATCCTAGTAGCTCGTGCCAACCCCCGTAGTCTATCTCACTACCTTTGCCGAGCGACTCCCCGCAATTCCTTGATAGTGTGTCCTACCTTCTTGCAGTATTTGCATCACAGCTTCCTTTTGGCCGAGGGTGCTTCCGTGCTAGTTAAGTAAAGGGCAATCTTCTTCTTCTTGTTGCCTCTCTCATTATACAGATCGATCTCCTGCTGTTTGGCGAGGAGCGAGGCGCAGGAAGATTCGCTGATCGTGCCTTGGGTGCAAAGGAGCGACTTGTAGTGGCGCTAATCTGGGCTCAATCCAGCGAGAATGATGGTGACGAACATATTGTCAGAGAAGTTTCCGCCACTTTTCTTGAATTGACCCCTGAAGTTTCTACAGCATTTGTTGTATGCCCTGCTTTCTCTCGAAGGAACATCCTGACGTTGTTAAGCTGGTTCAATAAACGGCTGAGCGTTACTGAGTCGGTTGCCATGTAGCATATGCGCAGGTGCTCCCATGATTGTTGCACGGGCGTCCACTAGTTCATGAATGAAGAGATGCCGAGCTGTTTCGAGGGCGACAGGCTGCGGATTAGAACGGTCTTGACGAGCAGTGACTCATTGCAGTACCGTATTTTCTCCCGATGTGAGCCTTCGTTTGGAATTGGCAGAGATCCGTCGTAATACATCCAGATCTGTGCACTTTGGAGCCAGGGGCTCGAACTTGAAGCTCCAGGTGTAGAAATCCTTCCCGTCGAAGAGCGTCATTGTTCTAAGTTTTGATGTCAAGAAGAACTTGCTCTGGATTGATGCCATTGCCTCATAGTGTGCTTGTTGTGCTTGCGTATGTACTTCTGCTCCTTGATTTTCGAAGGTGAACGATCGCTCAGAGTACGATAGGTCCTATGGATCGGGAGGTCTTCTGGCATAGCTGGAGCCATCAACGCTCATGGGCAGATGATGGTTCTCCAGTGCGCTGATGCGGGTGATGAGTTGCTCAATGAGTGTTGGGTCCACAGATGTCGTCCCAGAGGCGACGTTGGTGGAAGGATTGACTGGATTCTCTCCAGTTTCGCCACAGTCTGCGCCTGGCATGATGTAAGATGTTTATACCAGTGGATCGTTTTACAGATCGTGTTCTTAGCAAGTCGTATATTCCAAACTTGCTCTCGTACCATGTTAGAATAAGGATCCTTTGGAAATGATAGATTTGCCTGAGTGTATAGCGGAAGTCTTCCTGTTGTAGGAACCTTGTTGCATAGTGAATGTAAATGACAAGATTGTTTAAAATAAAACATTTACAAGCAATATATAGATTCTAGCAAGCCACGTACTATAAGGGGTACATTTCCTTATCAACTGTAAAGCATCGCTATATTATTAGCGATCCTTTGGTTACCAAATAATGGTAGAGACAGTTACGCCTGTTGCAATTCCTCGCAGGCAACCGTTTGGTCCAGTTCGGTCAATAGTCGCGACTGCTGACTTGCGACTGGTGACCTGTGGTCCTATACGGGCTAATGCGCTAGTGGTACAGGTACTATTTCGACAGTAGCAAGTAATTCCCTTCATACTCCAACAACGATAATGGAAGTACAAGGAGAAAACGTTGAACTATGCCAGGCATGAGGCGAAGCATTGGTGTTGTGCGTGATGTTGCATAATAAAGGAATGGTAATTCGTTACACCCTGGTACAGTAGGAGCTGTATTTTGTTCACGAAATGAAGAGTGTTTCAAACATTCCAATGTCATCCTTAAAGCATGCTGACACAAGTTTCGCCATGTCGGGTGCATCGGTAGACATCCCACCAATCAGCGTGTGCATGAATCACCCCCAGACTCAGAAAGCTTACACCTTCCTTAGAGTCACAACTGAACAGTTTTGTGACAACGACATCCTGCAGCTCATCGGCGGCAGATGCGACGGCGTCATAGACCAGGTGCGTGCAGCAAGCAGGTGCTTATAGCGAGCAGGTGCATCCAGCGAGCAGGTTCTCATAGGGAGCATGGGCATATAGAGAGCTGGTGCCTATAGCGAGTAGATTCCCTGCATACAGCGACAAGGTGCCAACTGTAGCAGCTTCTTTTATTGGTCTAGTCCGTCCGTCCTCCCCCTCCCATCCCCCGCTTACACCCCAAACCAAGCTCCTGTTCCCCCTTCTCTCCTCCCCGCTACCCCCTCGCCCACTCGTGTGTCCCTCCAGCTGACGGAGGAGTGGGGCGAGCGGCTGTTCGCAGCGCTGGCACGCGCGGGTGGGCGGGCGCACAACAACATGGCGGTGGGGTACAACAACATCGACATGGACACAGCTACGAAGCACAGCATAAATGTCGGCAACACGCCCGTGAGTGGTCCGTCTGTGCTCTCCTGGCAATTTTCCTGGCGGCACCAGTCGGTGATGAGCCGCAGCAGCATCACAACAAGGGGAGGGAAAGGGACTAGCAAGGGAAGGGCATGAGAGGGGCAAGGGAGACGCAAAAGAAAGAGGGATCTGGATGGGAGGCAGTGAGGAAGGAGTCACATTGTGCTTTTCTCCTTGCATGGCAGGAGTGGTGGCCATACACGAGAGCTTGCCTGGCGAGGCGAGGAAAACGGAGCCTAGCCTCAGCGCATTCCCACCCTCCGTATCCACCCCTCCCCTTCCTTCCCTCCCCCTCCTCCTCACCCTCCCCCTCTCCCTCCTCCCCCTTAGGGCGTGCTCACTGAGACGACTGCGGAGCTGGCGGCTTCGCTGACGCTGGCGGCAGCACGACGCGTGGTGGAGGCGGATTACTTCATGCGCGCAGGGAAATACGACGGGTGGCTGCCCACCATGTGAGTCTCAGATGGGGGGGGAGGAGCATGGCGGGGTTGGCAGTAGGGATGGGGGTGCTTGGGGTGTTAACTGCCCAGTATGTGAGTGGCAGAAGAAGATCGCTGCATTGCACTGTGCTCTTGCAGCATGCCGTGTGGGCGTCATTGCTCCACACTGTCCCTCCTCCTACCTACCTCTTTCTCACGTTCATCTACAACCTGTTCAGGTGGCCAAACAGCGCATTGCCTGACCCTTGTCCCCCCTCCCTTCCACCCCCCTCTCTTCCTCCCTCCTTTTCCCACTCCTTTCTCTCCCACCTCCCTACTCCCCCCATTCCCCCCCCCCCCCCCACCCCAACCCACCCCTCTCTCCCTCCTTTTCCTCACTCTCCCCGGTGATGGTTCATAGGCAATCTGCCAAGGGGCAGACGGTGGGCATCATCGGCAATTCAGCGCAATGTCTGGTTCTTATCTCCCCTTTCCACCCCCTTCTCCCCCCTCTTTCCCCTCTCCCCTCCCTCACTCCCCACACCCCCAACGGCAGGTTCATCAGCAATCTGCTCAAGGTGCAGACGGTGGGCATCATCGGCGCGGGGCGCATTGGCAGCGCCTATGCACGCATGATGGTGCGATGGGGGGGTGGGGGGGGTTGGAGGAATGGGCGATGAGTCGATGGGGGATCGAGGGGATAGGGTGATGGATGGAGGGATGGGTTGATGGGGGATCGAGGGGATAGGGTGATGGATGGAGGGATGGATTGATGGGGGGCCATGGTGGGATGTGGATGGTGGAATCTAGCAGCAGATGACTCGGCGATAGGGGGGGCGTGAGATGCGGTTGTTCTTTGTCTTGTAGGGTGCAGCAGCGCATGGGAGAGCACCCTTGGCTCCTGTGGCCCTCAACTCACCGTTGCTGCATATCCAGCAGCACTCACCATGGAGCTTCAATCTAAATGGCCCCCATGTGGATGGGCTAGACAAAAAAAAGGCAAGAACCCTTCTGCGTTCCCCCAAAATTCCCTCCCTATTGACAAGAAATTATATACATGATAAAAACTATTTGTATGTTTCTCTTTGGTAAACAACCCTCCTACTTCCCTCTCGCCTCCTTCCCCCCCCCCCCCCCCTGTCCCAACCTCCCTGGCAGGTGGAGGGCTTCAAAATGAACCTCATCTACTGCGACCTGTACCAGTCCAAGCGGCAAGAAGAGAGTGTTTCTTGTGAGCGGGGGATGTGTGTCGGAGGCGCGGGGCGAGTGAGAGGCGAGTGGAGAGTGAGGAGTGGCATGTGAAAGCTGAGGGAAAGGAAGGCTGAGGGCTTCAAGATGCACATCCTTTATTTCGACCTGCTCTAGTTCAATCGCCTGCACAAGAGTGTTGCTGGTGCGGAGAGAAAGCAGGGTGAGCGTGCGAGAGGAGGGGAAGGGAGTGTCACTGCAACGCCCCATTGGGCCTCAAAACACCATACTCACTCTTACTCACCCCTCTCACACACAGCGACATCCTATCCACACTCCCCTTTCTCCCTCGCCCCACGCTTTCCCCATCTTCTGCCAACCTACTCCCACTTCCTCCAATCACAGGGCGAGCCGCCCGTGACATGGCGTAGGGCATCCAGTCCCGAGGAGGTGCTGCAGGCTGCTGACGTGGTAAGCTGCTGACGTGTATACACTGTGTGATGGTGCAACCTATCGTTGTTGTGGATGGACAAGAGCATTGGCTCGGATGACTTGACTAGCATGTAGGCGCAGAAGAATGTTGCATGCATACATGATTCTAATCTGAACCAGCCCGTCCCAACCTACTATTCTTCATCTATCTAACCCTCCAGGTATCTCTACACCCTGTACTTGATAAGACCACCTTCCACCTGCTGGATTAGAGACGGCTCAATATGATGAAGAAGGCACACTGCCATGGAATAAACTCTCGTATGTGCTTTCCATGCTAACTTGCATAACACGCACTTAGTATCTTCTCTGAAAACCCTTTCCTTGCTTTTCCCTAAGCAATCCCACATCGTCCTGATTAAATCCCGTCCCACCGAATCTTGTTGTACCAACCCCCCTTCTTCCCCTCCATGCCTTTCCCTCAGACCCGTTTCACCGCCTCTCTCATTCCCCTCTATACCTCTCTCCCCTCTTAAAGGACGCCATACTGGTGAACTGCAGCAGGGGTTCGGTGGTGGACGAGGTGGCACTGGTGAGGCACCTCAAGGCCAACCCCGCCTTCAGAGCTGCTCTCGGCATCGAGGAGTGTGTGTGCAGCGATCCATCACTCCTCTCGTGATCGAGATCAGTACGCCAGCTGTTCAACGAAGCAGCTGGCATCCTATTCCGGGCATTCGCCCCTCACTTACCCGATGCGTAGCGCCGCCCGCCCTCCACCCGATGCCTATCTCCCCTCGCCTCCCCACCCACCCTTCCTGATGGAGCCAGGCAATGCAACCCCTCAGGCCCATACGTAGAATCTCACCCGATTCTGTGTGCCAACACTGATCCCACCCTTCTCTATGCCTCCCGGCATCAGGAAGAGACGCTGATGAAGCAGTACTTCTACACACTCCTCAACGTGGTCATTATGCCGCAACCCACCCGTCTCGACCCTCCACTACCCATCCCCTCTCTCTGCCCCCTTCCTCTCCCGGCATCAGGACGAGGTACTGATGAAACCTGGTCTCTCTACGCTCCCTAACGTGGTGGTAGTGCCGCAACTCACCCCTCTCAACCCTCCATCACACATCCCCTCTCTCGGCCCCCTTCCTCTCTGCCTTCCTCTCCCCCTTCCTCTCATTGCATCAGGACGAGCCACTGATGAATCCGGGCCTCTCCAAGCTTCCCAACGTGATGGTTGTGCCGCACATCGCCTCCGCCTCGCAGTGGATGCGCGCCGGCATGGCTGCCCTCGTTGCTCTCAACGTCGTCGTGAGTTTCTCTGTCCAACTTTTCATCCCGAAGCCACTTTCTGCTTCAACAACCGGGTGTCTACCCCCCCCCCATCCCATCCATCACATTGCTGTCTTGATTGGCTCCAATGCCTTCGTTACCCTTGCCCCTCACCCACACCTATCACTCCTCCCCCCCGACTCACTATGTACTTCTATCCAAAGCTGCAGGGATCTCCCGTGTGGCACAACCCGACCCAGCAACGCTGCCTTGATGCCCCCTTCCTTTCTTCCCTCCCTCAACACTGCCCCCCCACCCACACAGTCTCTGTGCTCCCCCAGGGGAAGCTACAGAGGCACCATGTGTGGCACAACACCAATGGTGTGCCCATCTTGCTCGAGGTGACTTTTGAGTCGACTCAAAAGTCACCTCATGTGTGGCACAACACCAATGGTGTGCCCATCTTGCTCGAGGTGACTTTTGAGTCGACTCAAAAGTCACCTCATGTGTGGCACAACACCAATGGTGTGCCCATCTTGCTCGAGGTGACTTTTGAGTCGACTCAAAAGTCACCTCATGTGTGGCACAACACCAATGGTGTGCCCATCTTGCTCGAGGTGACTTTTGAGTCGACTCAAAAGTCACCTCATGTGTGGCACAACACCAATGGTATGCCCATCTTGCTCGTCCAGTCCAACACCCCCCTTCTCCTCCCTCCCCTCTACGCTCCCCTCCAGGCGAAGCTATAGGGCTACCCCATGTGGCACAACCCCAACGACGTGCTGCCCTTCCTCGACCCCACCAGCCCACCCCCCAAGGTGTGCCCCAGCATCGTCAACGCCATGCAGCTAGGCGCGTGTTTGCTGCTTGGCGTGTGCTTTTTGTTATTTTATTCATGATCCTTCAACCCCCACCATCATTCCTCACCTCGACCACGCCTCTCAACTCTCCTCAACCCCCTTTCCCCCTTTCCCCCTTTCTTTCTTCCCCTCTACCTTTCCTCCTGTCTCCCTCCCCTGCCCTCTCCTTTCTCCCCTCTGCCTCTCCCCCTTCACCCCCCTTCCCTGTGCATTTCCGAGGTCTGCCCACAATCACTCCTTCCAAGTTGTGACCGCTTACAGGCCCAGACTTATTTCCTCTCACCCAATGTCTTGATTATGTGTTCGGCACCATTATTCGACTGCATCTACATGAATTTGAAGCTGGCTCAAATAAAGGCTACAATTGTAGCTGGATACAGTGATTTGTTAATCGCTTGCTATCAGTGGCCTTCAATATGAAAGTAAAACGACCTAAGGGCGCGTGTGGTCTGTTTAGAAGTTCAAAATAAAGTTCGAACTTTGGGTGGTTACCCTATTCGCTAATTTCGCGAAGGGTGCTTCGCGAACCAAGCATTGTATGGGCTCTGCAAAAGTTCGAGTTTGAAATATGAACTTGACTCGAGTCGGAGGCGGGAACGTGCATGCGCACGTTCATGCGAGCGTGTGTGATTTGCAGCACGTCCGAACAGCTGGCGAAACGGGCGAGCGCTTCGCCAGTGCATGAAGTTGCACAACGAAGACACCCCACAATTCGTGCACACAGTGGTAGCCACGTGTCCAGCATCGTGGCACGTTCGAGCACGATGTGGCAACGCGTCCCGCCCGTCTTGACGTCAGTCAAAGAAACTCCCGCCCTTGGTGTTGCCACGGGGGCTATTTGTACCCTGGTTACACACTCGGCGCAGAAGGTGAGTTGGAGCTCTAGGTCCTTGTAAACCGAGGCGCAAAATGTTGACGTGGCGCACTGTCAAGACGAGCGAACCGGGTAACCTATGATGTTGACGTGCGGCTCGGCTCGTTTTTACAAGTTCGAATGTCGGGGTTCGACCTTGTATGTGTGTGTGATTTTTTACAGTGTGGTAAGCCCGATGTTCGAACTTCGATAGAAGGAAATTCGAACTTCTTTCGTTGTAAGTTCAAAACTAAAATTCGCCCTAAAAACATAAACTTTTACAAAATTCAAAGACCACACGCGCCCTAAAGCACTCAGGGCTTTGCTTCATATAATACAGCTCAAGGCCCAAATTGCGCAATATTAGTAATCTTGCGCAAGGGTTGGGGCTGGTGGTTTGGGAGGAGAACACAAAGTCGAGAAAGTGGGCTTGACTTATTTTGCACAAGTTCTCGCAACACTCGCTGAGTTGGCAAACCCAGGGCCAACATTCTGTCGGGGTCCGAGACTCCCAAATTGAGAAACAATGAAACTTGAAGTTTGCGCAGTGAGTTTGGCCTCGATTAATCAGATTTATTCGTACCTACTGTAACCCAACATTCGCCAACTCACAGCACCCAAACAGCAGCTGAGGGAGATTAGTAGACTTGCCCAGCGGCCGCGAGCTTTAAGATTTGCCCAGGGGTTGCATGTCACGCTAGTGGGAGTTGGTTCTGGTTAGTGGCTTCACAATCCATGTACGGTACGGTAACCACTTCAACAAACTCAACAAGTGCAAATGGCAGGCAGGTGATCAAGCCACTGATACCGTATCACCCCGGATAAAAGCGCAGGCCTATGATAAGCGCATGCACTTCTATCTGGAACAATGCACCTATGGCCGATCCTCAATTATAAGCGCACCCCCTTTGAAAACTTAACTTATTATAAGCGCATGTACAATTTTAAAATAGAATTTCTGTTCAAAACGGTAGCGAATTTCATTTTTGAAGCGAGAGCAATCTCATTTTCGCTTAGCTTGACTCTCGAAGACCTGACTGGCTGCGCGTCCAGTCAGGATGTGCTGGCATGACTGCAAAGTGTCGCATCTTGTCCCCTGTGTGCTGGAAGGGAATAGCTTGCACGCGATTCTGTTTTGTGACGCGAAATGTTTCGACTCGGTTGAAAGGGTAAGAGTGAAATATGCAATTTGGTGTCTTAAAATCATAAATTTGTATATGACATTATATAAGCGCATGCGTTTATAAAAATGACTCAATTAGAAGAGCACCCCCCTAAAAAACACTGTTTTATTATTAGCGCACCTGCGCTTTTATCCGGGGTGATATGGTATGAGATATTGAGAAAGGTGCTACAGCTGTCCAAACGAGGAGCATCAATGCCATCACTTGCCTCTTCGCTCCTCCTCCCCCACCACTACCTTAAGGCGCTCCAATGCTGCAGGCGAGGAGGTTTGGGAGGGGGAAAGCGGAACAGGAAGAAGGCGTGAGGAGAGAGAGGTGTGAGAGAGTGGATGAGGATGGAGCGATGGAGGTGCCGACCGCATCACCCCACCAGCCATCACTGTCAGGAGGCACTCCTTTGCACGCAAGGAGAACGGAGGGGGACAGATGAGAGGGAGGTGTAAGAGGGAGAGATGTGAGAGGGGGGAGTGAGCAAGATAGAGGTGTGAGGAGGGACAGATGAGAGATGTGAAATCCCCCATGCAGACATGCACTCCCCCATGCAGACATGCACTCCCCCATGCAGACATGCACTCCCCCATGCAGACATGCACTCCCCCATGCAGACATGCACTCCCCCATGCAGACATGCACTCCCCCATGCAGACATGCACTCCCCCATGCAGACATGCACTCCCCCATGCAGACATGCACTCCCCCATGCAGACATGCACTCCCCCATGCAGACATGCACTCCCCCATGCAGACATGCACTCCCCCATGCAGACATGCACTCCCCCATGCAGACATGCACTCCCCCATGCAGACATGCACTCCCCCATGCAGACATGCACTCCCCCATGCAGACATGCACTCCCCCATGCAGACATGCACTCCCCCATGCAGACATGCACTCCCCCATGCAGACATGCACTCCCCCATGCACACGTGCACTTCCCCATGCACACATTCACTCCCCCATGCACACGTGCACTTCCCCATGCACACATTCACTCCCCCATGCACACACTCACTCCCCCATGCACACATTCACTCCCCCATGCACACATTCACTCCCCCATGCACACATTCACTCCCCCATGCACACATTCACTCCCCCATGGACACATTCACTCCACCATGCACACATTCACTCCCCCATGCACACATTCACTCCCCCATGCACACATTCACTCCCTCATGCACACATTCACTCCCCCATGCACACATTCACTCCCCCATGCACACATTCACTCCCCCATGCACACATTCACTCCCCCATGCACACATTCACTCCCCCATGCACACATTCACTCCCCCATGCACACATTCACTCCCCCATGGACACATTCACTCCCCCATGCACACATTCACTCCCCCATGCACACATTCACTCCCCCATGCACACATTCACTCCCCCATGCACACATTCACTCCCCCATGCACACATTCACTCCCAATACACACATACAACCCCATATGCACTCATAGCAGTACAATTGCACGCCTCCTGGACTCACCAGCACCACCCTGGACTCACCGGCATCGTAGTGCTCTCGGAGCCCCTCCATGAGGTGGGACGGCGCCTTGCCCTGCGGGCAGAGCGCACAGGCACAGCACACTGCACCCACCCACACCACACTGCACCCACCAGCACCGCACTGCACTCACCAGCATCATAGTGCTCTCGGAGCCCCTCCATGAGGTGGGACGGCGCCTTGCCCTGCGGGCAGTCAGCACAACCCACCTTCCCCAGCACCGCCTTGAAGTGCCGCACCTGATGGGAGGGGATGGGAGGAAGTGGTGGATTGGATTGCATGGGTGGAGTGAGTTACGTCATTTCAATCCGAGGGAGGGGGGTGTAATGGTATGGGGCACATGGCGTGCATGGGCCATCCCGTTACACTCCACACAGCCCCACCAACCTTCCCCAGCACCACCCTGAAATACTGCACCTTAGAGCAGTGGGATGGGGGAGTGGGGTGGGACGGGTGGAGGTGGTGTGTGATTTGGGCAGGGGTTGGGCTATATGTGTAATATAGGGCATGGCAGTAGCATCTCATTACAGTCACATTCACCACAGTCACAAGCATCCAGCGCACCTCCTGCTTCCTCAGAATCGTGTAGCAGTGCCCCGGCCTGCCCGCCCGGGCAGTTCGGCCTGCCCGATGAACAAAAGTCTTCGGGTAGACGGGTGCATCGTAGCTGACGACGTTGAACACGCCCTCCACGTCCATGCCACGTGTCATGGCGTCACTGGCCACCAGCACCTGCACCTGGCCCCTGCGAAACCGATCCAGAATGGCACTGCTCATGCGATGCGATGCGAGGGTTGTGGTTGTGGTGGTTGGCGGCGGAGGGGCGGCGGAGGGGAGGCGGAGGGAAAGGATGGCAGGGGGTTGGCACGAGGGGTCATCATAATGGTGATAGGAACGAAGTGATTCGACAGATTCAAGGCCGCAGCACGTCGAGCCTATAGATCGAGAATGGTACTATTCCTGCCAACACGTTTGAGGGGGTGAGGATGGACGGATAGATGGCATGGCATGGCATGGCATGGCATGGCATGGCATGGCATGCAAGTAAAGGGAGGCATGCAACGTCAAGGACAACGCAGACAGGGGGAAAGCAATTTCAGCGCGACCACCACTGCTTCCCCTCCTCACCTGCTCCCCTCCTCACCTGCTACCCTCCTCACCTGCTCCCCTCCTCACCTGCTACCCTCCTCACCTGCTCCCCTCCTCACCTGCTCCCCTCCTCACCTGCTCCCCTCCTCACCTGCGCTGGCGCTGTGGCTGGCGGGAGGAGAACTCAGCAAAGGCGAAGGGCAGGGAGGCGGGGGGAAAGGCGGAGAGCAGCAGGAAGAGGCGGTGGGCCGCCTGCAGGGAGGATGCAAACACCAGCGTCAGCTGCCGTGGCCGTGCTGCATCCGCCGCAGTGTTGGCAGCAGCACCAGTGCTGGCAGCAGCACCAGTGTTGGCAGCAGCACCAGTGTTGGCAGCAGCATCTCCCTTCCCTTCCTGCCCCCCCTCCCCTTCGCCAGCCCCCGCCTCCTCCCCTGCCGTGAGCTTCTTGAGCAAAGCTGCCAGCAGCAGCGGCTTGTCACTCGCACGCGGACACACCTGGGCAGGGGGAGAGGGAGAGGAATTGTGGAGGGAGAGGAGGCAGGGGAGCGCGTGAGTGAGTGATGTGTGGCTGATGGGGGAGAGGGCGAGGAGGGAGGAGGGTTGACGGAAGGAGAAGTTAGAGGAGAATGAGCAAGCAGTGGAAGTGAGTGAGTGTGTGTGTGTGTGTGTGTGTGTGAGTTTGTGTGTGTGTGTGAGTGTGTGTGTGTGTGGGGGGGGTGGGGGGTGCCAGTCAGACTGCAACACTGACACCAGTGCAATCCTGACCGCTCTCCAACCATTCCAGTCATCCAAATCACATTGCCGCACACCATACTTGCACCATACTCACAAACCACTCACACGCCACTCACCAGCATGGAAGTAACCAACTGTGGAGGCAAGTGGTAGTGTCTCACCCCCTCCTCCTCCTCCTCCAACTCCTCCTCCTCCCTGCCCTCCTCCATACCTTCCTCGTCAGCACCCACATCACCAACTTCAACGTCAGCAATGGTGCCAGCGTGGCGTGTGCCCCCAGCTGCCACGTGGCGGAGCATGGCGGAGGCGAGCAGGTGGGCGGCGGAGGAGATGAAGAGCGGGCGGTGCAATCTGAGCCGTTGGATCTTGGAGGGATCGCGGGTGAGTGTGGCAGAGCACACTAGCTTGATCACTCGATGCCGTTCAATGTCAGGCACAGATAGCAGCGCGGGGGCACAGGGGGCACTGTGATGACGCAAGGAGGGAAGGAGAGAAGAGGCGCGAGAAGAGAATGGAGAGAGGTGAGCATGGCAGAGCACTCGAGCTTGAACACCCGACGGCACTCAATGTGAGGCAGGGAGAGCAGCGAGGGGGCACATGTGGCGCTGCTATGGTGTACGGGGTGGATACGAAAGGAAGGGTCACAGGAGGCAAAGGAGCGCACGTGAGAATGGAGAAGCACTTGAGCATGAGGATCCAATGGCGCTCACTGTCAGGCAGGGAGAGTAGGGAGGGGGAGCAGGGGGCGCTGCGATGGGCTGGGGAAGGAAGGAAGGGAGGAGAGAAGAGGCACGAGAAGAGGACGATGGACAGGTGAGTATGGGAGAGCACACTAGCTTGATGACCCGATGGCACTCAATGCCAGGCACAGAGAGGAACGTGGGGGCACAGGGGGGCTGTGCTGCAGCAAGGCAGGAAGGAGAGATGAGGCACGAGAAGGGACGGGAGACAGGGAGGAGGGAGGGGGCATAGGGGGCGCTGCGATGACGCAGGGAAGGAAAGGAAAGGAGAGAAGAGGAACGAACAGGCGGAGCAGGACTGTGGGTGTGCATGGTACAGCACACCCACACGAGCTTGATCCCTCGATGGCCCTCGGTGTTGGGGAGAGTCACGGGGAAGAGGCGAGGCCGTGAGGATGAGTGGGGTGATTGATTGAGTGTGGAGGAGGGGAACAATGGAGTTACGGGGTTGTTGTGAGGGGCAAAAGGCGAGAGGGAACTATGGGGATGTGAGAGGCGGAAGAGAGAGCAAGTGTGAAGAGCAAGAACTTGGGATGGGCACGCAAGGAAGAGCACACGGCAGGAGCAGTTGAGGGCTCACTCACAGGGATCGCAGGCCGTGGATGAATGGAGTGGGGCGAGCATGAGAGGGCGAGAGGAACCGTGCAGGTGAGACAGCAGCACAAGGCAGCGGCACATAGTGGGGGCATATAGCAGCAGCGCAGAGCATCAGGTGAGTGTTGGGGCCTCACAGGGATCGCAGGCCGTGGATGAACGGAGTGGGGAGAGCACCGCTCATGCTGCCACCGGCACTAGCATGCACGACGCCGCCCAGACCAGGAATGCTCACTGCTACGTCAGCATGCATGCCAGCGACTGCTGATGTGGCAGCGGTGCCAGCGGAAGGGGAGGCAGCAGCGGCGGCGAGGGTGAGAGGCAGCCAGTCGTGGTAGGACTGGCGCAGCAGCCGATCCGCCTCGTCCACCACCTGATGGGGCCAGGGGGGAGCAGGAGGGGTGTGGGAGGGATTGAGGCCAGGGGGTGCACAGGGGTGCACAGGGGACAGAGGAATACAGAGGAGCTTGGGGAGGCGAGGCAGCGGCGAGGGTGAGTGGCAGGCAGTCATGGCAGGACTGGCGCAGCAGCCGGTCCGCCTCGTTCACCACCTGATAGGGGCGGGGGGGCGCATGGGGGACACGGGAGGGTGGCCAGAGGAGAGCGGAGTGCAGAGAGAAGGTGAATTCACTGCACACGGGGAGCAGAGGGGTAGAGAGAGGTACATGAGGCGTCGCAACGCAACCGCAATATTTGCCAGGCTACAGCTACAGCCGCTGTGATCCCCACAGCTGTAGCAGAGCAAACGGTTGTAGCAGCCTCACCAGGAGCTGCAGGCGTGGGAGAGAGAAACCCTGAGTGCCCCTCGGTAAACCTCAGTGCCAACAGCTGTAGCAGAGGCAACAGCTGTAGCAGAGGCAACAGCTGTAGCAGAGGCAACAGCTGTAGCAGAGGCAACAGCTGTAGCAGAGGCAACAGCTGTAGCAGAGGCAACAGCTGTAGCAGAGGCAACAGCTGTAGCAGAGGCAACAGCTGTAGCAGAGGCAACAGCTGTAGCAGAGGCAACAGCTGTAGCAGAGGCAACGGCTGTAGCAGAGGCAACAGCTGTAGCAGAGGCAACAGCTGTAGCAGAGGCAACGGCTGTAGCAGAGGCATCAGCTGTAGCAGAGGCAACAGCTGTAGCAGAGGCAACAGCTGTAGCAGAGGCAACGGCTGTAGCAGAGGCAACGGCTGTAGCAGAGGCAACGGCTGTAGCAGAGGCAACGGCTGTAGCAGAGGCAACGGCTGTAGCAGAGGCAACAGCTGTAGCAGAGGCAACAGCTGTAGCAGAGGCAACAGCTGTAGCAGAGGCAACAGCTGTAGCAGAGGCAACAGCTGTAGCAGAGGCAACAGCTGTAGCAGAGGCAACAGCTGTAGCAGAGGCAACAGCTGTAGCAGAGGCAACGGCTGTAGCAGAGGCAACAGCTGTAGCAGAGGCAACAGCTGTAGCAGAGGCAACGGCTGTAGCAGAGGCATCAGCTGTAGCAGAGGCAACAGCTGTAGCAGAGGCAACAGCTGTAGCAGAGGCAACGGCTGTAGCAGAGGCAACGGCTGTAGCAGAGGCAACGGCTGTAGCAGAGGCAACGGCTGTAGCAGAGGCAACGGCTGTAGCAGAGGCAACGGCTGTAGCAGAGGCAACGGCTGTAGCAGAGGCAACGGCTGTAGGGAACTCACAAGGAACTGCAGGTGCGAAAGGGAGAAGCCCTGAGTGCCCCTCAGATGGTCCACCAGCCGCCCCGGCGTCGCCACCACGATATCCGCCCCGCTACAGCCGCCGCCACTGCTGTAGCCGTTTCCCTGGCTGTAGCTGGGGCGGCTGAGGAGGCCCAAGGGGCCGGAACGGGCGGCGGGGTGCGGCACGAGGTGGGTCGCCTCGTCAGCGAGCGATGATTGGCCGTTGATGAGCGCCACTGAGAGGCCGACAGCTGGCGCTATGGTGTCGAACACGTGCTTCACCTGGAGGGGTGGGCAGAATGGCACGGTGGGGGGCGAGGAGGTAGAGAGAGGGATTGGGGGAGGGTTTGTTGGGGGGAAGACAAGTAAAGTTAGGGGGCAACGGTGGGAGAGTAAGGTTGCTGGTTGAAATTTGGCTGGAGAAGTGGGGAAGGGGAGGAGGCGAAGTGGGTGAGAGTTGGTCAAGGGAGCACAACCAGGAGTCGGCTTGTCTGCGAGCAAGGGAGTGCAAGTGCACGGCAGCAGCTTGCGTGTGCCGCGTATGTGTGCGGCAGGACAGCACTGCAGCACAGCAGCACCATAACACCCACCTGAGCAGCCAGGTCCCTCATGGGCAGCACCACCACCGCCCGCACTCGCCGCACTACTCGTCCTGCCAGAGCCTGCACCACTGGCAGCGCATACGCCAGCGTCTTGCCACTCCCCGTCGGTGCACACACACATAAGTCGTGCGACGCCGCCCGCAGCCCCGCCACCTCCCGCTCCTCGCCGCCCTCCCACTCCGCCTGCGCGACTCCCCCTCTCCGCCCCCCCTTCCCCCCATCACCAGCGCCTGCTCTCCCCGTTCCCCCATCCTTCCCCTTCCTGGGTGTTGTTTTTCCATGGGCGTGGGGGTGGTTACCAGGTAACCCCATTAGTTCGCGCCACACCGTGGCTTGCACGGGAAAGAGATAAGAAATGCCGGCCGGGGCGAGGGCGCGCAGGAGGCTGGCAGGGGGGGATGGGGCAGAGCGGCGGGGCGGAAGGGCGTGCAAGAGGGGATGCAGGGGAAGGACGAACGGAGATTGTGATGAGGGGAATGAGAGAGAGAGGAAAGAATGCGAAGAGGGGAGGGGAAGCAGCAGGGGTCGAGTGTTGCAGTGAGGGAGAGACGGCAGCAGCAGATGCAATGCAAGGACGACGACCACGCGAATTCCCAACCCCACCCTCACAGCTGACTCCCGTACCGCTTGTCTAGGTTCGGCACCGACGCTAGAGGAACGGCATCAGCTGTGGAGCACTTCACTGGCGCCCGCATCCACGGCAGCACCGCACCTCCCCCTCCCCCTGCCCCTCCGCCTCCCCCTCCCTTTTTTGCTGCTGCGTTGTGCTTAGAAGGTGCCTGAAGCGCAGCCTCTGCGCCCACAACCCCATCGTCACCATCGTCCCCTGCTCCGTTGCCCTCTTCGCCCCTCTCCCTCGCTCCATCGCCCTCAGCTGCCTCGTTTGCTGCCACCACCACCGTGTCGTCCCCACCATCCATGGCCCCATCCATGGCCCCATCCATGGCCCCATCCATGGTCACATCCTGCTTCCCTCGCCCAGCCCCCTTCCCCTTCCGCTCCTTTTTCCTTTTCGCCTTTCCCTCGCCATCCCCTAAACCCGCTTTCTGTTCCGAGTCTTCCTGCTCCGCATGCGCTACACCCCCAAACCCTGAACCTCGCTCAAACCCTCCTCCGCCCCCTGCTTCACCTTCCCTCTCCCCACCGCTTTGAGCCGCAGCACAGCTCGCACTCCCAACATCCTCCCGCCTCCGTTTCCTCTTCTTGTCCTTCCCCCTACCCACTGGAGCTCCCTGTGCCAGCTCCCCACTGCCATCTCTAAGCCCTTGTGCTGCATCTAGTGCGAATCCCAAACCCCCGCCCTCGCCACCTAGCGCATTCCCTGCCTGCTCTCCCGCCACGTCACGTGCGACGCCGTGCGAGTCTTTTACCGTCGCATTCGGAGCACTCGCACCTTCCGCACCCCTTTCCTCTACCTCCCGCTTTCCTTTATTCCTCTTCTTCTTCGTTTCACTAACGCTTCCTCCCGCAATCTCCGCCGCAGCAGTATCGTTCTTAGCTCTTTCGACGCCTCCGCCAACGACATTCGATCCTCCAATTGTCTTTCCCCCAACTTTGCTCTGATCAATGCTCTCCGTTAACCGATCAGCCTTCTCAGCGCCGAAAGGCGTCTCAAGTTTTCTATGCGCGGGAAACGGCGGGGCGGAAGCGGGAGTGAGCGGAAAGGTGGGCGGAGGCTTGAGCGGCGGAGTGGAGGCGTGGAGGTACGACGAGGGGAGCGCCTCGTGAAGGCCGTCCCAACGCTTCACGGGAAACATTGCGCAAAAAGTAGCTACCACGAGCTACTGACGCGCGCTCTCAGCTGGGCGCGGTGAAGTGAGAAGGACGACGCATCGATGCGTCGTACGGAATAGGAGTAGTTGAGGCGAGGAGTTGAACTCACTGCAGGGAGGGAAGCAGTGTTGGCTTAAATAGTTGGAAGAAACTCAAGTCCGAAACCCAGACAAGGCGACACAAGTCAGCAAGCACAAGGACTGGTCCAACACGTGGCTGTTTAAGCAGCACCATACGATGAAGGGTTAGGAAGGAAGACCCACAAGGCTCGAAGTTGGGATGTCTTCCGGACAAATAAAACCGGCGACGATGCAATTGCCAAATATACCTTTCTCGGCCTTTTGGCTAAGATCAAGTGTAGTATCTGTTCTTATCAGTTTAATATCTGATACGTGGACCATCGGTCCACATGATATTAAATTAATTTCTTTTTGGGGCAGGTGCCAATGGCCAGCTTGCTGGTCGGCCCTGCGCGTGTCGCTTCGGTATTGCACTAACTCCGAGGAAGGCACACCCCTCCCCCAACAGGGGTCCAAACAAAAACTGAATTGGGATTGTACAGTTAAGTAAGTGCTGAAAATGCATTTGGTGAATCGTTGAAAATGGTAATTGGTTGCTGTAACGAATGTGCGAGCTTTGAACGTAAACAGTGAGCATGCTTGCCACACAACATTCCATTTCCGACAATTCTAGCAGCAACTGCCACAGGTTTTCCTTTCCACTAGCTAGTTGCTTTCCTTTCAACACATACAGTTAGTTGCTTTCCTTTCCACTAGCTAGTCTTCCGTAGGGACACATGCTACGAATCAGTCACGGCGATGGCAAGTAATTTAATCGTTGCGTCGAATGCTAATCGCCTGTTGCGTCGCACGCTAGTCACTTGTTCCGTCGCAGGTGAGTACTTCAGGTTGTTGCTTTCCGTTTTCCCGTGTCCGCACCGCATCCAAGCCTCCATAATGTGCTTTCATATAAATTCCGCCACTACGGTCGGACGTTTTATTCTTAGTTTGGTCGACGACGCTAAGCCCGAAAAGATCGACTGGAGTAGCCTTCGCGTTGGCAGCTCTGCCCGCACTCTCGTAGCCCTTTCCACGCTCGCACCGAACAAAACGGGAACGAAATTGCTACCGTACGCGAATCATTACACGTAACGCCTGTAGTTAACGCTATGTTTCTCGCTGCCTTATTCCGAAGGTACTCGCTGCCCTTTCCGCAGGTACTACGCGCTGCCCTTTCCTGCATGCACTTCCACTCACTTTTCAAAATATTCCTGACTGACAGATTGCATCTGGTCGTGTTTTTCGTACCACGCATGACTGACTGATTACGACTTCTCTCTCCGATCACCGAGTAGCGTCACAAGCGACGCATCTAACCTAACAGGTGTTGTCTTTACGGAAAGCGTACGTTCCACCTAAATTTCCCATCTGGCGCTGCTTCAATGACTTATGTGAAGACTTTTCTGCCACTCTCCCATCCTACTTTCTTGCGTTCGCGACCTGCCCACATCCGCTCCTTTCCCCCACCCCTTAGCTGCAGAGTGACATGATATGGGACTCTATAAGTCACCTTGACAGATAAGAAGCCTGATTACTGCTATAACGGCGAATAAGGCCTCGTCATTGCTACCGCGCTTGGAAGTACTCAGCTTTAACACATAGTGAGATATTCAAGGTCACATCAATTCTAAGGCTGTAGGGACTTCTGCTATCAGAAACTCTGTAATCATTGCACCGACGGATCGATTCAGGTATTGCCCGCCTCTAATCAGTTTCGTACCTTAGTGTCCCTGCCTCACAGGGTTTTTTTCCCGTTCATGTATGCTCCCAGCATGATCATCTTCCTTTGATGCTTTACCACAACAAGGTTTCCCCTCTCACAACGATCTTGCATCTGCTCTCACTTCCGTTCACATGTTTCTTTATCTGCGCTTATCACACGGACGCCAGGGTGCTGTCAGCAGCAGCACCTGCCCTTTTTCAAGTGAACCGCAGTGTGTGCTGCTTTTATCTATACTTATCAGTGATTTTTGCCCAGTGCATCATC